ACTCAAAGGACAACTGCTGCAAGTTTTCAGTAGAAACCAGCTGTGCACACCACTGATTGGCTAGTACTTGCAACATCACAAACCCACATCCCACCTGAAGAGAAATGTTGCAACAGTTTTTTAAATGACAAATGTTCATGCTGCACTTTTTAAACAATTACATGGATAGCCCATCTGAAGACCATGGAGGGAATTGAAGCAGAGATGACTGAAATCATTGCTTTAATCTCTGGTCAGTGCACTTTGTGCAAGCTGGGCTCATGCTACGCGAGAAAAAACAATAAAACAGCAAGCCCTGTTCAAAGGAACGCCTATGTGCTGTGCACATTTTGAGGTCCTGTTCAGTTCTGAAATGGATGTGAGCTCTCTTTATGAGAGAAGATATGTCCTATTAATTTTTCCTGTATATGTCACTCATGCAGATAACTCCATGAGCTAGGACAATAGCCCCAACCGATGCTTCCTTCTCTTGTTCTGACACTTCCTTCCTGATATTTCATAAAACCAGTCAATATACTGCCATATGTCTGGTCTGACCTGAAGCTGAGGCTCCAATACTTTGGCCACCTCGTGAGAAGAGAAGACTCCCTGCAAAAGACCCTGATGTTGGGAAAGATGGAGGGCACAAGGAGAAGGGGACGACAGAGGACGAGATCGTTGGACAGTGTTCTCGAAGCTACTAACGTGAGTTTGACCAAACTGCGGGAGGCAGTGGAAGACAAGGGGCCTGGCATGCTCTGGTCCATGGGGTCACGAAGAGTCGGACAAATGACTAAACAACAACAACATGTCTGCCCTGTCCACTATTCCCTTTATGTGATTTTAAAATTGACCATTTAAACAACAACAACAACCAAATGAAGAATGCCCACCCACCCAGCAAAGTGGAGTCCTTGAAAACAAGCACAAGTAACCAAATTATCGGTGGTCATTTGGGGATTGAACTGGACATGACCAGACTTCATTTCTGCCAAACACACCCATGTCTCTTTTCCTTTTCTTTCTTGGAATACTGAAATGGGACTTCACTTGAATCCCTTTACACATGGTGGACTGCCAACAACCGTGTTTACCCAAAGCAGTACTCCATGTAATAGATGATGCTGTATGTTCTAGTTGTTGTTATACTGAAGAAGAATCTTGCTGAATCAGATCAGCAGCCCATCTAAGTCCCATGCGGTATTCTCACAGCCGCCAGCCAGATGCTGTAACATCTTAACATCACATTATTGATGTTTATAAAATAGAAACCGGGTGCTGGCCAATAAGATTTTTTATTTATTTCTATGTGAGATTTCTTGACCGTGCTTTCTCGTAAAGTCCCGGGGGCAGACTGCAACTGGTGTGTGTGTGTGTGAGAAGGAGGAGGAGGAGGAGGAGTTTGGATTTGATATCCCGCCTTTCACTCCCTTTAAGGAGTCTCAAAGTGGCTAACATTCTCCTTTCCCTTCCTCCCCCACAACAAACACTCTGTGAGGTGAGTGGGGCTGAGAGACTTCAAAGAAGTGTGACTGGCCCAAGGTCACCCAGCAGCTGCATGTGGAGGAGCGGAGACGCGAACCCGGTTCCCCAGATTACGAGACTACCGCTCTTAACCACTACACCACACTGGCTCACACTGATAAAAAAAAATAAAACAGTTACAGTTATGAAAACAAGTAATGCTGTTCCAACCAGGCAGAACAGTATAGATTTGGTAAAAGAAATGGGTTCCACCCAAAAAAAACCCCCACCTTAGCAGGCAAAGGCCAGAGTAAAGAGGTGTTCAATGAAGATGCTAGATGCATCTTTGTGAGGAAGGAATTTCACAATTTAGAGGCTGCCATAGATAAAGCCCAATCCCGGAACACCGTTCCCCACACTTCCAACAATGGCAGAACCACCAAGAGAATCTGGTTAAATTACACTGGATATATTTCCCAAGTGTCAAAAAGGGTTATTTATGTATGCCACTACTGCAGCCCGTGTTTCGTTAGCCCAAAAATGGAAACCGAGCAAGGTCCCAACTAACGCAGAATGGCAACTTGGAATATGGATGGAATATGTGCCTCTTGCAGTCCTAACATAGAATAAGAGAACAAGAAGAACATACATTTAGAGAAGACTGGGAAATGTTTATTGAATATATGGGGGGGGTGTACACTTGAAGACGTTGGCTGCATTAAAATTCAACAGTGTAAATAAGTTTTGATGGATGTAATAATGGAATACCGAATGGTTTAGTTTATGTAAAATATGCAGGGATTTATGGTATGCAAAACAAACTATGGAAAGAGAAGAAGGGAAGTCACTGATATTTTAGGATGTTTAAATGAGCATTCCAAATCATAAAACAGAAAATTTAATAAAAATTATATTTTTAAAAAAATTACATTGGATATAACTGAATAACAATAAAATATCATGAACAAAATTCCCTAGATGCCAGCCAAAAGGATGAGCTTTAGGGATCTCTTTAACTCTAGTTGGAACTTGGAAGACTGCCAACTTTGGGCGGGGCATTTGGAACGTTGAGAAAGTGCCGTGGGCGTCAGTCACAACATGGCTGTTGTAGCTACAAGCTGTGGATTCAGCTTGTGGATGTGTGGCATAACTTAAAATGGCTGCTGTGGGGAATGTGTGTGTGTGGTGTAATGCAAAATGGCTACCACATCTAAAAGAGCAAGAGAAAAAAACAGAATGCCCCCCTACACACACACACCAGCCGTCCCAACAATGCTGGTTATGGTTTGGAAGACAGCTATATCAACCACTACTTTGCTTGCTCACCAAAATAAACTTTTTACATCTCTCCTCTGTTCGAAATGAAAAGGAAGGTGGGTGCTCAATCTTGGCATCCAATGAAACATAGCCATGTTCAAGGGTGTGTAAGTTCAATGTAGGAGAATCCAACCAAACCAGTTGAGACTATTCACAGGTGCCATAGGAAGGGCTGAGGGGTACATTGGAACCTTCAGCCATCATGTTGATGACCCCTGATGTACAGGGTCGTCAGACTTTCAGAGTCCCTAAGCCTGAAGCTCAAGCTTGGTGATATGATGGGGTGGTTGACATGTAGTTCAGACCTGATATTTTGCAGGTCTTATGACACACAGATTGCAATCACGGTTTTAGTAATAACAACAACACCCCTTAGAATCAACTTGCAATGCTAATAAGAGAAAATATCCTTATCTACCTTGAGCCCATATCACATGGATAAACCTGGGTTTGGTAGCAGTAAGGGATGCCTTGGTGTATCACACGTGTTCCCAACACCGGATTTCAAAGACCATGCTCTTCTGCCTCCATTTCTTTAAAAAACACCAAGTTCAGTAACTTGTCTTTCATCTGCCTAACATTATTCACCTGATTTTGCGCAGAAGGTTCAGAAATGGCACTTTTTCTGGATAAATAGCCCAGTTCCCACTGGGACCTGTTGTATAGGGAGCAACATAAAAGAATGAGTCCAAGAATAGTAGACTGGGGGGGGGAAGGAAACACAAGTTTAATCTATACTTTCCCAAGCTGCTTTCACTGAATGTGAAATTCCCTTGTTTCCTTTCAAGCATGTATTTTCTTTTTCCTGCTGTTAACCGTGTGGAATAGGATCAATACCAGCCTTTCATTCCCAGTGTTTGAAATCACCCCCTTCCTACAACTAACTCAAAACAGCGTATGCAAATGATGACAACACCTTTTGACTTAAACCTCAAACCTTTGTCACATCAATGTTCCTCCATGAGCTATTCGATTTTGTAGTTTCAGGACGCCAAACTGTGGCTTAAGTCACAGTCATGTCTGTGCACCTGGTGACTCAAAACATGAATGGCCTGTATTGAAAAGTCTTGTGTTCAAGGGGATGCAAGGACAGGGCATTCTCTTTGGGGTGTTGCAGCCACTGATGTCCTGTTCACACACTGCAAGTCGTCACTGGACGCTGATGAACCTGCACCTGTGAATTAAGCCTTTGGTCATCATGCTGAAACAGGCCACCAGGCAGCCAATGATAATACAGAAATGGGTGCACCTCTTCAATGCGAGGTTCATTCTATAGAGCAAAACTTTTGGACCCAACGAGCTTCCTCTGAAAGGTACAGTTTCTCTATGAGCATCCTTCCATCCAGGAGGACCATGCCCACATCCAGTTGAGTTAAAAATGTTCAGTTTGGTCTGTTGCTTCCAAGTTGCCATGTTCTCTTCTGCCCATCCACTTTTTTGCCCATGGTTGTGTGGCTGCAGTAGGGTCAGGGTGTGGTAGTTTCATTGCCCCCTGTTTCTCCTAGGGCCCTTTCCTCCACTCCACCCACACCAGGAGTCAAGTAGGAACCATGGACCATCTTCTGAGATTATCATGTGCCAAATTAGATGGATAAATAAAGATGATGGATGGATGGAGATAGATGATAGATGACAGTAGATAGATAGATGATAGATAGATAGATAGATAGATAGATAGATAGATAGATAGATAGATAGATAGATAGATAGAGAGATAGATGATAGATAGATGATAGATAGATAGATAGATAGATAGATAGATAGATAGATAGATAATGATAGAGATGATAGAGTCATTAAACACTGAACATGCCTCTCTTGCACTGTGCATTAAAAACAGCCACTTTCAGTGCTTTCCTACTTGAGTATACTTTCCTAGATATATCTGCATGCCCCAGGACACCCATGCTCACTATGGGATGACTTTTTTCTCCTGGTCATATTGCTGCTACCCATCCAACCCCAAGCTAGACAGCAAGTTTCTTTTGGGGAGGTTGGACAGTCACACCCAACTCTTCGGAAGGTGCATGTGTTACGATGCCAGTGGCAGCTTCCCTTTTTGCCTTGGCCGATGCAAAGCACACCACTCCGAGACACCCTATGCAACCCCGTCGATTCCATCAAATTAAGCAGTCCTCAAAATCAACCACCAAATTGATCGCACCCAATGGCAATGCATGTTCTCAGAGACAACATTCAATGATAAAGGGCAAGAGCAAGAAAAGAGGTGGAATACTCACATTCCTTTGAGCCGTTGCCACATCTTCTCCGTGTGGCCTCCTATCGGATACTTTAAAGGAGCGCTCTCCATGCCTGGAGTCGTCTCGGTACCCGTGGAGCCCATGGCCATCAATGTCCAGCCAGCAGTGACAGAATTAGAGTCAATCTCAGCGGCGAGGAGGAAGAGTCTTATTCAGTTTGGCACACAGACCAGAAGATCTGCACATGTTAGGCAGCAGCTGCTCTCATCTCTCTCGAAACCTATCAGGATTGCAGAGCGGAGGGGAGCTTCTGCCTCAATTGCTGATTCACTCGGCTGGCCAAATCCACACTCTGGGCTGCCTGCCCCCTTCCCTCCGTGCCAACTCAGTCCCTTAAGCACACAGCTCTCCGTGACCTCAAGACAGATTAATCCATGCCAGTGAGGCAGCAAATGTACCGCCGACCGTTGATGCTCTCCCCACACTTGTCTCTGATTCGGCTCAACTGCTGGAGTCCTGTGCACAGAAGCGCAGCTGTCTCATTCAAAATGTGCAGGAATCTCTGGCCACGCCGGAATCAATGTGAGCATCTAGAGTGGTCCAGGAGAGGGAACGATTTGTGCACTCACTTGCTTGCTTGCTTGCTTGCTTGCTCGCTCGCTCGCTCTCTTTTTCTCTCTGCAGTTCACAAAGCAGGGTGCAATCAGGAAGCAGGTGGCTGGAGCCAATCTGAAGTCCGCACCCTCCTTAATCAAGGGGGAGCATCTGCTTAAGCGTCACTGCTTCCCCTTCTCTGCGTTGATCCCGAATTGCTTCTCTGCCAACAAAAGCACCTCTCAGAATGAATAAGCAGAGCAGGCATGGTTGGTGTGCACAGAGCTCCTGCATAAAAGGGAATGAGAGAGAGAGAGCGCTCCACAGGTTGCCATTGAAGGAGTAGGCTCTTAATTGCGACTATTCGGCTTCTCCTAGCAACTCCGCACAGTAGATTACTGTCAAATTAACCCGCTGAAAAAGCAGCAGCTGCAACACAATCCCCTCAGTGACTCCATTGGGACAGCAGCATGTGCAGTTTCAAAGAGGAGAGTGGGAAAGAAATCTTGGGTGCTGAGTTTTAGTACCCGCTTGCTAGGGCAGGGGGCTGGGGGGGGACAGTATTATTAAGTCTGCAAATAAAAAGCCAAGTGACTGAAAGCGAATTCTTCTGCCAGTCCTGAAGCAGAGCACCAAGCCTATTTCTCTAAGCCAGCTCTGGGCTTCTGGCTGCACAGCCAGCACTGTGAAGCTGCTGGAAGAGGAAAGATTGCAGATCTGCTTCCTGTCGCCTTCTTTGCTCAAAGGTTTACTTGAGTATCGCTGGAGGCTCAGCGTTAGACTAGGGGTCTGGCTGGACTTGATTTTGGATCAAATAGTGGTAAGTGCCAGTGGCGTAGCGTGGGGGGTGCAGGGGGGGCTGGCCGCACCGGGCGCAACATCTGGGGTTAGGGCAAATCTACAGGTTAGGGGGCGCAAATCCACGGGTTAGGGGCGCAAATCCACGGGTTAGGGGGCGCAAATTACTTGCCTTGCCCCGGGTGCTGACAACCCACGCTACGCCACTGGTAAGTGCTGTTTTATCAGAACATGAGCACAGGGAACAATCATTTGCTTCAGCTGAAGGTTTGGGGAAAGTCACAAAATTTATCATTTGGGAAACTCTTCCATAAGTGGGAACCATTTCAAGGAATCCTTCTGTTTTCATAAATGAAGATGCTTCTACCAGTTAAGATTATTTACAACATCTACTTCATTTATAGAGGATAATTGCATAACTTGAAGTTAGGGATGGGAAGAGATTAGAGTCAGTTCTCATCTGAAAGCAAACCTAGGTAGTTTGCACTTTCTGTGCCTAGAAATTTGCACTTCTCCAAATTTTGCAGTGCAGTTCTCCAGCCAAGGAAGACACACAAAAATGGATACCCTACCATAAAGTGTGCATAAAAAAGGCATTTATTAGTGAAAATAACATACAAAAATGCATTATAAAAGCAAAATTTGCATTGCAAGAATTCACACATTGGGCAAAACCGTGTAGGAAATGACACATATTAGGAGAAATTGTCACTAAAATTCTAGTGAATTTTCATGATGCAAACCAACATGGAAATGTAAAGAACTGAATTTACGACTGGAAAAATGAGAAACTGTGAAACCATTTGCCCACTGCTACTTACAGTACTTTGGAAATCCTCATAAAGTAGCCCAATATTATTTTCCCCATATTGCAGTGTGGTGGGGAGTGAATAAAAGAGACTGAGAGAACAGAGGCTCTGAAGTCAGTTCAGAACTGAATGAAATTTGGATAATAGTTTTCAATCTTGATACACAATCAACACAAAACCTGCTAAGCCTGTCATTTTACCAACTATCCAGAATCCGTATATGGAGCACGTTAAAAACTAAGCATTTCTCTATCCTATTGATTTCAGCAGATGTATTTTGTTTATTTTATACATTAATTATTATATAAATGCTTTATCCATTTATAAGGGCATTTTAAAACCACCAGCTCATTAAGGCCATCTTCAAAATGTAATAAAATCACACAGTTGTAAAAGGCAGAATGACCAACCAATGCTAAATCAAATTAATTCTTGAAAAATGCTTGATGAAACAAATACTTTTCCAGCAAGCAGCAAAATACCAGGATTATAGGTGTGTGTCTGATTTCAGTTCATAGGTGCGTTACTCTCCCAGAGATACCAGTTGGAGGTAAAAGTGTCCCTTTGCCTGGATCATTATAACATCAGGCGATTGGCAGGTGGCCCTGTGGTGATTACCAAATATGATCAGTATATTTCTGCACTAGGCAATTTGTTATGCTTTTGAATGGATAGGAACAATATTCAGGGAATAATCTGAAGGCCCACTATACCATTTAGCTGTCTACTTCAACACCCTAGTGACTCAGCTGCACAGCTGCAAATATAACGTTGTGACACTAGATGGTGATGGTGAGCTAATGGCAAATTCAATGTATATATTTAAAACTATTTTTTAAGAAAGCATCTTCATAGCGTTTTTAATATGTGTCTATATTCCACCTGGGAAAGAAGAGAAAGATTGTGCCCACTGTTAAATGGTAGGGCCAGCACTCCATGAAGTCCTTTTCCTCTCTAGCCCCTCCGGCCTCCATGGTCCCTTCTGTCTTTGCATCTATGGGCAAGTCAACTGCATCAGATTGGGAATCCATGGAGCAGCACAGATAAACAAGTCGGGTAGCTACATGGTTGGAACCCAATCCATGGCGTCAGGTATCAGGGTTGTGTCTCAGAGCATCCTTCAACAAAGAGAGGCCTGAGCAGGACATTCCAGTCACATCAGGTGGCGGCGTTTTGCCTGCACAATTTGAAATCAAGCCATAAGGGCAACAGCACAGCCTGCCACACACTGACAATCAGCTTGCCAAGCGCACTAGACAGCGCTTTGCACAGGCCTTTGAATGATGGTGACTGCAACCCCGTTTAGAGGTCATATGGCATTAAGATGTAGGGCAGGTGGGTGTGCCTTGGCCCCATAGGCCAAAGGGGAAGGCTTGTGGAGGCCTGGTTAGGCCCATAGCCACAGTTTCTCCACCAGTGGTGTAGATCTGCTGTTTGCAAATTTAGAAGCTTCACAAATGGGGAAGTATTTTATTCTAAGAATGTGGAGGTCACGTTCTCAGCCTGCAAAGTGGCTGGAGTCAGCAATGCGCTGCCGCATCTGTTTTTAAAGATATGCTCAAGAAACTGAACATATTTTAGAGTTTATTTTAGGAAAAGAGAACATCAGCATATATGAACTGTGGTCTTTTGTGGAAATGTTATCAGTTCATTGCTGCCGACTGCTGAGAATTATTGTATAAGATACCTGTTACAGCAGATAAAGTATATATTGCATCATTGTTATTGTTATTACAGCTATTACTTTATTCTTTTTCTATTGTTGTTGTGTTGTTGCTGCTGTTGCTGTTATTTCTTATTATTTTTATTATCACTGTTTCAGTAGTGTCCTCCCTGCCTCCTATTCCTACCCTTGGGTCTCATTGACAAATGGGATGTTTCATTGATGGGGTTTGCCCATACAATTATGACTGTGATCAATTTCTCATTCCCCTTTAGAATAGGAGAACTAATTCTGTCTTTGGGATTTAACTTTGTGATCACAAGCGAATCACAGCATTTCACAAGTACTGTTAAGAGGGAGCACCGCAGAGACGTTTTTAAAGCCCAAACTGTGTTAGCTATCACCCACCCACATTGCTTCACACTTACATTTGCATTGTTTTGCCGAGGAGGTAGATTGAAGCAGGGTGGGAAGAAATGATTGACAAGCTGCGAAAGCCTATCAGAACCTGTTTGCTGAGGTCATTTAGATTGAAGCTACTCAAGAAATTGAAAGAAATAGAGGGACAGGTTTAACTTTAAAAACTCATCATTTTAGCTTAGTTATGCCATAATATATTAGCGCGTATGTCTAGGAATCTCTCTGAAGAAGCAAGATAAATGCACATTATTTCATCTGTAGTATCTCCCCACTTCATCTGCATGCAAGGACCTGTCTGTGATCTTCATTCCCTAGACTACCTAAAACACTCTGTGTGTATAGATGTACAACCAATAAAACGAACATGTAAACCCTCGTAGTCATTTTTCCTGATGCAAGGCAAAGGGAATGTGTTTATAAGTTTATAAGCAAAGGAATGAACAGTATGAGGCAGAAAGGGACAGGAAATTCACAGCCAGCCATGCTTATCGGCTTACCTGAAGGCTTATCCACACTTACTATTTCACTGTGTCACAGTCCATGCTTTAAAGCTCCATGTCTGAGTGCTCTCTCTCTCTCTCTCTCTCTCTCGATCCACAGCATTCTCCGTGAAAACCCGCTCTGTACCACTGAATCAGAGCAAACAGTAATCCATGGAACACCCTGAGCTCCAGGACTGAGGAATGTGTAATTTCCCCCCAACTTTTTGGTGTAAGCTTTCTGGGAATGTTCAGGGAGGCAGGAGAGGATATATTGCTTACTAATATCCTTCCTAACTTCCACTAGCAAGTTCTATAACTTAGCAGAGTTTTACATTCCCCTTTTAAACATACAGTGCGTAGCTAGTTACAGGCTTGTTTAAGCCTCTTAATATTAGATTCCTGGTAAGTCCCCTTGTATCCCTCTTAAAAGAATAAACACATCACAATCTTGTGTAAAGTATATTTAAAAAAGTTTACTCACACATTCAGTTCACAGATGAATCCCTGAAGTTACAAAGTATATACATGTGGATCTACCCCATATGGGGGGTTAATCCCAGTGAGTGCAGACTGGCAGTCACTGCAGTTCACATGACGAAAGGAAGATGGAAAAGAGAGAGGGGGGCTGCGTGCCTTGTGGTTTGTTACCTGCACAGGTAAAGTCACGCTCACCTTTAGTCACATGAAAAGGAAGTATGTCCCAGCCCAGGAGGAAACAGGAAGTTCCAACTGGCTAGACCAAACATCCCCTTGCATGTCTACTCTAGGAAAACAAGGAATGTTGTACTTGACTGCTACTTATGTATCACATCCCACAAGCTTAAGTCAGAGAGATAGCAGCAGAAGCCAGAGTGCTACCTATAAATACATGCTGGCATATTTGGTGAGTGAGGATGTTTGTCTTTCTCATATATTTCTGTATTTTGAATCTGCTAGTAGTTGTTATGCTCCCCATATGTCGACTGTTTTGCTCTATGTTGATGTTTTAAGAGGATGACTTATGTAATTGTTCTGTCCTGCTCCAAAATGTGGGGTTTGAACGGTATGTTTTGTATTCCTTCATGATATTTTTACGATGTAGTAAGCAATTTCTTTGAAATATGGAGCTGTTTTAAAATTGACTAAGTAAATAAGTGTGGGGATCTGGGGAACAGCAGCATGAATCTACCCACCAGGCCTTGCCA